ACCCTAGACAACCCTTTCTCTTCCGAGGGAAGCTATGAAGCCTTTCTCACTAAACCCTAAACCCTAAACCCTAAACCCTAGACAACCCTTTCTCTTCCGAGGGAAGCTATGAAGCCGAGGCCCTGAGTCGGGATTCCTGAACCTGAACGGCAGGTACAAGGCCTGAAGAAGGGGGGGCTTTTGGGGTTTAGGGTTCAGGGGTTTAGGGGTTTAGGGTTTTGGGGTTTTGGGGTTTTGGGGTTTAGGGGTTTAGGGTTTAGGGGTTTAGGGACCCCAAAGAGCCTAGCTTTTTAGGGGGTTCCTTATTAGGATTTCTTTATATATGTCCTGAAAAGGGTAGGTTATTTGGGGTTAAGGTAGGGCCTAAATTAGAAGTGCCAGTGCTATTTGGGGGGGGGGGGTCCTTATTGTAAGTAATTATAGTATAATACAACACCATTTAGGCCTCCATATCAAGGGGTCTAGGTTTTGGTCTGAGGGTTTGGGGTTCTAGGGTGTGCAGCTGTTAGGCTTTGAGGGTTTAAGCTTCTAGAGCTGTGCGTTTAGTGCTCTGGGTTTAGGGTTGCAGGATTTAGGGTGCAGGCGTCAGGATTTAGGGTGCAGGCGTCAGGGTGCGGTTAAGGGTTTAGGGTTCTTGATCTTCATCCTTCGGATGCCGATGCATCGGAGGAGGTGACGTCCTAAACCCTCGAAGCCCTAAAAGGTGACACGGCAGATCAACGTGACTCGAGCTTGTCATCTGATTGCCGTTCCCGGAACGGAGATCCGGCAACTCAGCTGAAAACGATGATGAATCACACGGCTGGCAGGGTTCTCCAACTATGTCTTATGAGCGGACATCACAAATCAATGGTTTCAGCCCAGTCTCAGCACTTCTCGAATCATGTCGTTACAACTCATGCAGCTGCACACAAGGCCTCCTGGTAAGGTTGGAGTCAGACCAGCATGAGAACACTCCCTGTGCGAATACCAGCTCTACCCTTGTCACCCTGCCATCTGAGGCTGCATCTCTAACCCTAAACCCTAAACGCTTATCACCATGTCATCCGAGGCTGTATGAGCAGATATTCTTCCAGGCAGATGCCACGTTCAGTGGCTCCTGGACTTTCATCGGAGTGGCATCTCCGCTGAATGTGGTGTCTAATATAGGGGCCTAAATAATTCCCGATATTATTTTGGGGGGCTCCTTATTATGGTTATAGTATACTGGGCCCCAAAGCCCCAACCTAAGGACAAGGCTCCGCAATCAGCTGCGCAGTACTGGAGATGTTCGCATCAGTCGCATCGTTCCGGCATGCGTGCAGTACATGTCGTATGGTCCTGCTTCTTATCACTCGATTATATTTTACTGCTAGCAGCTGGGCATCTACAGCCTAGTTTCTCTTTCGTTTGTTGTTATCCGGGGGATCTTGCATTCCGTGGTTGCCAGTGAGACTCCGTCTGAGTGCAGGAGTCACTGCATGTGCCCTTATGCATTGAAGTGCCCGTTTCTGTTTCTGGCCGTCTGGGCTGTATGCACCAGTACTTCTGTATATTAGTGAACATAGTGTGAGTGATGGTGTATGTTTGCATGTGCGCGTAATGGTGCTTGCTTTCATGTCTGCTTGGGTTAAAACATGGACGGATTGATACACACTGTACGTGGGGTTATGATCTACATGTCTGCTCTTGTCGACCTACATGTGCATCAGCGTCTATGCAAGCAAGCATGTGTGTGTATGTGTTTATCTATATATATATATATATATGTATGTATGTATACAGCTTTCTTTATCCGTTTATTAAGTATGTGTATGTACCTTTGCACACAAACATACATCATTGATGGATCGATGTGTGCATGTGCATACACATATGCATGTATGTAAGTGTACGTGTGTCCGTATGTATGCATGTATGAACATGTATGCCGATGTAAGCTTTGTAACTGTATGTATGTACGTATGTATGTATGTACGACACCATCCACTGAAAGACATATATGGGTGGTGTTAGCACCACGCAAGGCCGAATTGCCATGACTATCCCTCAGAGTTCCTCGTTCCTCTATCATCATCGTATAATATACCCTAAAGCTCTGTTCATGTTATTGAGGCCCATGTATGTCTTAACCCTTACAGATCCCTGAAAGGCATTTATTTATGCCCCTGCATCAATTGGGCTGGTGTCAGCCCCAAATCCCGGTGCCTGTATATTTGTTTAGCAGTTTAGCCCATATAGATCGGGTATAGTCAACCCCCTAGACCCTATTCTAATCATTAACTCCCCTACAGTAATTACTTCCTTGCATCCCCAAACCCGAAACCCTAAACCTTATAACCCTTATAGATCCCTATAAAGCCCCATGGTTTATGCCCCTACGTTACTGCGCTGTCCGCATGTCTTCAGGATCATGTTGGAGCCCAGGCCCGCTGCGTGGACGTGGAAGGGGAGGCTGGCGAACCGTAGAGAAACACAGCCAATATGATGATGATGAAGATGATGATGATGATGAAGATGATGATGATGATATGCAAAATATATCAAGAATAATCACATTATGGGGGGGGGGGGGCTTTAGCAATTTGAGTGGGAAACAAGATAAACTACTAAGAAGAAGAATCACATGACACGAAGAGGAACCAGAACAACAGCATTAATCACAAGGGGTGGTCTGCTGAGCACCTTTTTTGGTGATTTGGTCGTTCCAACACGGACAAAACCAGAATAGCTTGATCTTGGTTCCGGAGCCCTAACCCTGAATTGTGTCTTCCTTCTCTTTCTTGTAACATTAGACATCAGTTGGCTGCAGGCCCGGTTCCTCAACGCCACAGCGCACTTCACAAACTGCGGAGGTCCCTCAACGGAGGACGGAGGCCTCCGGAAAAGTTGTTGAACTGCTGAGTGTTGCAGGGTTTTGCCCTCAAGGTTCATTTTGGTCATGTACATTCATAGTCGGATAGTTGGCGATGTTTGGCGTCCTTCGGGTTTCCTCCTTAAGAACCCTCTTGCAGGTTCTATGGATGACGACTGCATGCACGGCTTGTCACGACAGCACACGGAAGTAAAGATGGATGGATGGATGGATGGATGGATGCATGGATGGATGGACGGATGGACGGACGGATGGATGGATGGATGGATGGATGGATGGATGGATGGATGGATGCTTGGATGCTTGGATGGATGGAATTGCATGGCACGGAAGGAACAAAAAGGAAGTGATTGAGGTAGACAGCAAACAGCAAGTAAGGATTTGTTCTACGAAGTATCGAAATGCATGTATAGCATGACCCTTGTCAGCCGAATCGGACCTGTGCCACCGGACCAGGAAGCGTTTGTTCATCGCTGAGAGGTGTGGTGCATTTCGCTCACAAGAAGAGCCGAACTTGTCTTCAGCGTCCCGAACCCAACAGCCACACCCCTCAGCCCTCAAAGCCGAGAAGGTGAAACTTTACCGTGCAAGACCCGGAGATGCGAGACCACCAACACCCAAAGCCCAAAGCCCTCTCCCGGTCGTGTTTCGGAGTAAACCCAGTATCTTGCGAGGCAGTCCGTCTCTAACCCTAAACCCTAAATCCGAAACTCTATAAACCCTAAATCCTAAACCCTAAACCCTTATAAACCCTAAACCTCAAAATGTAGCCCTTGCAGCAACCCTTGCATGAAGCCCTCAACGCCTTCAGAACTGGCTCAGAGCTCCTTGGCTCAGGCGGCCTCTATGCGGAGAAATCCCTCGTGATTCAAGAGAGTCAACTTGAGCTCCTTGGAGTCAATATGGGAGTTTCAGAAAATTTTTGGGGTCCTTATACTAAGGATCCTACTATTTAGGGTATTATATTGGGGTCCCCTATTTTCTGATTGAAGAGAGTCAACTTGAGCTCCTTGGAGTCAGAAGGGTGGTTTTCTAAATTAGGGTCCCTTTTCATAAGGGTGCCGTATTATATTGGGGACCTAGAAAGGGGACCCTAATTTAGAGAACTACCCACATGTGATTTTTAGGGTTTAGGGTTTAGGGGTAGTATGTGATTTCAGCCATCTATGGCATAGATGTAACATTCCCGATGCTTCAGGGACGATCTTGTAGTTGTAATGGATAAGAACGTGGGCTATGTTGAAGGCTCCCTTGGGTTTTTCTTCAGGATGCATCTAGCGACCGAAGACCCCAAAATTCTAAGCCGTCTTTTCCTTATGCAGGTTCCGGGAGTGTGAGGCGATCTTCGGCGGGAGCATCTTCGTGCAAAGGCCCAAAAGTCGAGCCAACATGCGCTTTAGGATTTTCACTCGGAGCATGAGTGAGGGATCAGCCGAGTGGCTTGAGCAGGATGATTGATGTGCGAATCTTGGTAATGTTGGTGAGCGTACATGTGCGTGTCTTGTCGGGGATATGCGCGGGAGTTACACACCCTGCATGATGCCTGCATGATGCTGCTACATAAGAAACATGGGAGGAATGTGATGGGGGATGAGGTTTAGGGTTTGGGGTCCCTCGTCTTTCATGGAACCGCACCGCAGGGGCCTGTACCTGAGCAAGTCGCACCTGAGCGTTTTCGACAGCAAAGCCGAGGAGTTTGGAGGACCCTCGCATGTGGCCGAGCTTTGTTATGATTCTGGTGGTGGGGGTTCGCTTGTCCCCCGACCCTTGCTGAATCCCACCTTAGGGACGAAATGATCCCTAAAAGGGCTTCAGGTTCATTTAAAATATAGGGAGTCATAGTATAAGGGTATAGGGCCCATTACTTATAAGGGTCATTTGGTCCCCAAGGCATGAGTCATTGTTGCAGTCTGGTTCTCTTCATTCATGATCAGCAGAGGGGACTTTCCGGCTCCCAACTGCGCCGAAAGCAACTTTTCTAGGTAGTATTACTAGGGGTACCCCTTAAAGGGTACCCCTTCTGAGCCCTACTTTTGGCTCTCTTAAAAGGGACCTTATTGAGAGCCTAGCTCCCATTTTCACAATGTTGTGAGGGTGCAGACTTTGCAGAACCCTGTGCTCGGACCTGAATTCAGAAATCACAAAGACCCAAAGCCGAGCACAGGAGGAATCCACGTGGGGCGCTTCGATGTCGACAACCGGAGCGCCGCAACGCTCCGGAACTGTGTGGCCGGATTTCCCGGATCGTACGAAACACCGTTCAGGATGCAGGTGTAACTAACAGGTTTAGCATAGCAGGGATGACGAATATCGTATGAGTTGTCTCCCGCTACGGCAAAAGCACATGCCTGAAGCAGAGACGCAGAGCACTTGAAGCATCTACTCCTTAGGGACGAAATGATCCCTAAAAGGGTTTCAGGTTCATATAAAGTATAGGGAGTCATAGTATAAGGGTATAGGGCCCATTACTTATAAGGGTCATTTGGTCCCCAAGGCTTGGTTCATTCGTGTCTCGATGTCCACGTGAGGCCGCTCAGGGAGGCGGTGGTGGCATTGTGGTTAGCAATGGCACAATGATCTCAGGCCGGAGCTCTCGAGGGTTTAGGGTTTAGGGTTTCGAGTTTAGGGTTTAGGGTTTAGGGTTTAGGGAAAGCGGGTAATGATTAATGATGAGATCATGATGTTGTCATGACCTTCACTGCCATCATGAACAATATCTTCATCGCCACAGCTAGCATCATCACTGCTGCAAGTTGTACATCAGTTTAGAACATGCTTCAACAACCATGATGACAGTAAGAGTCGTGTCACAGTCGCAGTTGTTGTCGTGGTAGTAGTGGTAGTGGCCACAGACACAGGCATCATTGCAGTACAAGAAGTAGTAGTAGTAGTAGTAGTAGTAGTAGTAGCAGTAGTTGTAGTCGTCGTCGTCGTGGTGGTGGTGGTAGCAGTAGGAGCAGCAGCAGAAGCAGCAGCAGCGGCAGTAGCTGTAGCCGTAGACGTACTAGCAGCAGCAGTAGTTGTAGTTTAGTTGTAGTTGTAGTTGTATAGTAGTAGTAGTAGTAGTTGTTGTTGTTGTTGTTGTTGTTGTTGTTGTTGTTGTTGCTGTTGTTGTCGTTGCTGTTGTTGTCGTGGTTGTTGGGTGGTGGTGCTGGTACTGCTGGTGCTGCTGTTGCTGCTAGTGCTGTGCTGGTGGTGGTGGTGGTGGTGGTGGTGGTGGTGGTGGTGGTGGTGGTGGTGGTGGCGGCGGCGGCGGCGGTGGTAGTTGCTGTTGTTGCAGGGTTTGTGCTTTGTTCTAGCGCAGTGTAGATTCGAAAGCCAAGCGACCTACATCACTTGTCGGGTTGATTCTCTTCTTGCGCCCAGACGGCCACATCTCCTTGTCGCACTGTGTGTCGGCCGAAGGAGGAGGCCCCGTTTCGTAAACTGAGTAACCGCCTCTGCATTGGTCATCCTTAGGGACGAAATGATCCCTAAAAGGGTTTCAGGTTCATATAAAATATAGGGAGTCATAGTATAAGGGTATAGGGCCCATTACTTATAAGGGTCATTTGGTCCCCAAGGATGATCGCACGCGAAGTAAGAGGTAAGGCCTTCAAACAACCAGTTGCCCGCCGAAGCCCGAGCCATGTGGGAGTTTCCGAAAATAGGGGACCTAATGTAGTACCCTAAATAGTAGGACCATCATTATAAGGACCCCAAAATAAGGTACCCTAATTTTTAGAAACTCCCATGGCCTTCTGACTCAGCCCACATGGATTTCTGCCAAAGCTCAGCTATTGTAGACTGAGCCTAAGCGAAGGCCCTGAACCCTAAAAGTTCAATGTCCAAACCGTGGAGATCTAAAGAGACATAAGCCCTGAAGCCCGAAACCTGTAAAGCAGTGCAGGCGCCTTAACCTTTGAAAAGGCTTTGAAAGCTCCCACACACCGTACATCCTCACGGTAAATCTTACGTCCCGATGGAACACTTAAACTCAAGCCTTACTCCCAGTGTTTGGCTAGGGTCATGAACCCTAAACCTCAAACCCTTAGCTAGTACCCTAAGGGTCCATGTACTCATATAGCATATACATGGGCCTTAAAGTACCTGTATAGGGGCTACATTAAGGCCAATGTATATAGTATATGAGTACATGGACCCTCAGGGTAGCTATCGCAGGCATTGCGCTCCTGGGTTCTCAAGCGCACTTCTTGCAACGCCAGGGTTCCATCGAGGCCTTCCCGGGTGAGGATTTTTCAGGGTTTTGGTAAAGGGTGTTCAGAGTTCTATGAAAGGGTTCTTAGTGCATGTTTCCTGGGATGCTTGTTTCTTGGCAGATGCTGGACGCATTCGAGGTCGGGATTGCCAGGTTTCCAGGCTTGTCAGTGGAGGGGGCGCAACCTGGAAGACTCGGTTGTATGCCCTGATGATACAAGACCCCTGATCCCAGAACTGCCTTTGGGAAAGGGTGCTTGTGCAAACAACCTTGCACCTAAACTGAGCAGGATAAAGCTTGCTGGAATCGAATGTGCGGATCCAACCCTCTCGCAAGTTTGTGACCTCTGCGAGTATGATTGTCGTTACTGCTTTTGCTTTCTATCCTACCCCACTGCTCGTACAACTATTCATTCTGTTGCTACAGCCACGCCCCAACTCATCAACCCTTCAAACTCATAAACCATTTAAAGCCTGAACCCTTAACTCCATAAACTTAACGCCAAGTCCTTAACGCCCGAAGCCGCAATTACAGCCTGATTACCGCAAAGTCTAGGTAATATATGGGTTCCAATCAAGAAGGCTCCTAGATTTTGGAACCCTTATAGGGGTAGTTCGCTAAATTAGGGTCCCTTTTGTCCTTTTTATAAGGGTGCCGTACTATACTTGGGATCTAAAGAAGGACCCGAATTCAGGGAACTAGCCAAATATTTCTTTACAGAACCCTGTTAAAGCAGCCAGTAAAGGAACTCTAAGCGACTTATGAGAGCCCTGCTGAAATCCTATCAAACCCTTACAGAACTCAAAGAACGCTTCTAAAAACCCTATTCTCACGACCTAAACCCTAAACCCTAGAATCCTCAACCTCCAAAGCACCAAAGTTCTAAACCCCCAAGCTCGTCCACCTTAGTTGCTCAGGTGCGGCAGAGCAGGTCCCGGCAGGGATCCCAGAAGCACTTGCTGACGGTTTTAAGCCATTTGCAGGCGATGGGTTTGGCACCCTGAATCTAAGGTTGAACCCATGGGCCCCTAACATGGGCCCTTAGGGGATTCTAGGGTCCCTTAAGGGTATATACAGGGTATATAGCAGGTATATTAGAGTCCCAGGGTTAAGGGCCCATACTAGGGCCTGAACACCGCCTTAGGGACGAAATGATGCCTAAAAGGGTTTCAGGTTCCTTTGAAATATAGGGAGTCATAGTATAAGGGTATAGGGCCCATTACTTATAAGGGTCATTTGGTCCCCAAGGCGAATGCAATAATAAGGTCGGCACAGGGAGGATGCATCCACGTTGACAGCAAGTTCGAGCAGGCCATCGGGGACCTGTGATGATTCTGTCGCCGACGGTTGAGGGCTGTAGGGCTTCGTGCATGACTGTGGGAAGAGGACTTGACATGATGAGCATGTAGGCAACGAAACTCGCTAATCTTACCGGAGTGAAAATTGCATGAGGTCGTACTCGCGATGCAATAAGCTGTATCTCGGGTGGTGTTCCAAGCACTATCAATCCGTCGGTAGGCGGACAATCGGTAGGCGGACTTGCAAAAGCGATAGCTTCTCTTCTTAACAGGTTGATCTGCTAAGTAGCAGTATCAGAAGACTCCAAGAATAGCAGGTAGCGGACATGTCGGATCTATACTCACCATATACGGAAAGTTTTGTATCTCCGGCTAGTTTTCCTACATGCAGCCCTTTTCTTTGACGTGTTTCAGACTTGCAGTGCACGTGTTACCATGACAAGCAGGAACCCTAACCTCCCAGGTACCTGGGGGGTTAGGGGAAGTTATCTGAGCCTCAAGTTCGACACCCGCAGTCCCGATTTCATAGCAGTTGTGACGCAGTTGTTTTGGTGCCTTCGCACCGTCGGCTCGAGGTGATCTGCATCCCAGGCTGCCTTTACTCCCACCGACAGCCGAAGAACTGAGCTGAAAGCCTTTTCTCACCTGGGGCTCGAAACCCTTATCCCCCTAAACCCTGAACCTTCGCAATCTTCCAGCTCGTGGACGGCGTTGTGATCCTGGATGGCTGCGCCACTGCGATGGGTGCAGGAGTGCCTAGACACTCCCAAACCCCTGAATTGAGGAATTTGAATACACCTGAAGCAGCAATGGGCTCCACATGACTTCAGAAGGTACAGTATGTTCAATATGGTATACGCCTTCAGTAAATCATTACAGGAGATTGCCGTATGCAAGTTCTACAACATTACAATAGTTGGCGAGTCAGTTAGTTCGTTAGTCAATGCTCGTTAGGCAGTTAGTTGGTTGGTTGGTTGGTTGG